TCAGTGAGTTTAAATTTATCACATCCGTAAGTATAGAGACAACAGAAAAAAAAATCTGATCACAGAGGGAAAATCCACATAACTTAACAGAGCTATCTCTGAAACCAAACATAAACCTCTTCAATGAACTGCATCTTCCTGCTAGTTTTTGGATTTCTTTTGTACCATCAGACAAAAGTATATTTACATGCTACATTTCAGAGGTTCATTGTAAAAAGCTATTAAAATTCCAGCTGATCTTTGCATCATTCTGAAAGATAGTCAAATTCCATGTTGCAAAACCCGGTTGCAGTATCAATGCATTTTTTTAATGAGAAATTAAAACTTCACACACAGGCCATTTTTTAAATCATTTATTTCAGTAGGAAAGATTTTTGAAACCTGTACTTAAATTCATTTAAACTAGCTTATGCAAACACACAATTTTCACACGCACACAGAGAATGAAGTATTAAAAAAGCTGAAGAAAAAGGCTAGAGGGCAGCCAAACTGCACATCACTCAGTGAGATCATAGTGCAATCCCTCCATCCCTATAATGCCTCCCACCAGCAGGGAATATTAAAAATGGCTTGTGTTTACTGCATGACAACCTTGATCCCCCTTCCAGTGATGGCTGGTCCTTACAGGATTATTATCAAAACATATATATGATTTCCTGATGCTTTTCACACTTCAGTAACAGTAGTATTTGAATGGATATGCTCCTGTACACAAGGAGCTAGAAGTGCCTGTAAACAAGGCACCCTAGAACCCTTTATTTCAACACTTAATCGATTTATACTGCTTTTCAGTTGCATCTGTGAGCACCTTTGGAATGCTAAGAAATACCTTCAGGAAACACATGTGAAGGCCAGAATCTACCCAAATAAAGAGAAACCAAACACACAAAGGAAATGGAATATTTAAGATGCTTTTTGTCATTCAACAGCAAGATCAGGCTTACAGCCATAACCATGCCATGATCTGCAGGAACTTGTATTTCATTACATTTCATACCCCTATTTTCTTAGCAATGTAACTTCAAGAAAACTTGCCAGCTGTGTTCTGCAACAGGCACGACTAAGTAGTATGTCTTTTCTCCTTTGACCTAACTCTACTATTGTCTTTGAAGATTCTTAGAAAGCATAAGAATTTTCAAATTATCCTTCCCTTTCCAACATCTGAATTTATAAACACTATAGTAAAACTACTATGTTTTTATAAGGATGGGCTCCAGGAAAACAAATATTTAATTGCTTAAGAACAATACATTCATTCTTTCCTTTCCCCTTTCACAGCTTATAAAGTCTTGCTACTAAAACAATCTCTAGCAGTTGTTTCAGTGAAGGACAGTACTCTACATAGTGTTGGCACCAGAAATACAACATACAAAACAGAGTTTATAGGATATTAAGAAAGAATAAGATTTATCCAAGCCTTCTCTTTCCCCAAATGTTTTTTTGCTGTAGCATTTATTTTACATTAACAAGAAGCTTATACGAAATAAATCTACTCATAAGAATGCTCTTCAATATTTAAATCAAAATGGGAGAAAGAAAAGCAAGCTCCTTTCTAATAATGTGGCCTTTTAAGTTCATGTGGTCTAGACCATGACTTGGACTACCCTTTACAATTTTTCCCCTCTACTAAATCTATTAGAGACACACCAAAATAAAAATAAATTAGTTTTGAAGAAGTCTGAGCTACTTCTGATAAAAGCTGAACAAGCCAAAGCTACCAAATACCTCCGCATTTTTCCTAAAAAAGGCTATTCAAATATAGAAAAAAAACTACTAAAGCAACTCAAGCCACAACTATTTTACACTGACCAAACCAACTAATTTTTGCAGAAATGCAATGACTGTAAGAATGTTACCCCTCGGTACATCAAGGACACAGTATGCAAAGTCTGCCATTGTGGTACTCTCAGCACTGAAATAAAGGAATTGGTCTTCAAGTTAATTATAAGGCACTGACAAAAAGTCCTCCTTAAATCCAAGCACTCACCCTCCTCTTGATGTATTACAAATGAGAATAATGGTTTTAAATAAGGGGTAACCCCTACAAACAAATTCAGTGTCCACTCATACATTAAAAGAATCATACAGATTCTTGACAACTTTCCCAAGACAAATCACCTTATACACACCCCATGTTTAAAGAAAATTCTATGAAAAAGAGCAATACTTAAATAATAACAGAACCTGTAAAACTTGTCCTTGTAGGAAGAATAAGCAATTAACTGATGTGATTTAATACCAGTCTTGGTGTTTTGATGCTTGTAACAGGCAGCATAGTACAGGTGGTCATGGAAAAGATTTGAACTACTAATGCTGGTGAGTTAAAAGACCAAAAAAAAGGACAAAGTATGAAGAAAGTGCTGCTGACAGAGCTGGAATAAACAACATCCCCTGATTTATCTTGATTTGGACAAGATTTGCGACAGTTCATGAAAACCACAAGATTATTTTGCCTTTTATCAAAAGGGACCTCATCTTCTCGAGTGCCTTAGCATCACAAAAAAATGCAATTACTTCAGTCAGAAAGGAAAAAATTTCCTTTTAACATTTCTTATGTCCAATACCAAGAGAGAAGGGCTACTGTTGAAAATGTATAAATGCAATTAAAGGTGGCTGACGTGGCAAGAAAATTAGATTTGATGAATGTACTTCTAGTGAGGAACAGATAACTAAAAATCCTGCTGTGGTTTTTTATGCTTTCTTTTACTCCCAGTATGTTTTCAAATATGTATACTTCCATAAACACTTTTCTTGGTGAAAGTTCAAGTGCTCTGCAGTTGTACTTTGAGGAGAAAAGTTAACCAGCTCATTCCCCAAAAGAGACACCAATTCCTCAAGTAGGAGGCTAAAACATCTGCTTAACTAAAGGGTTGATTAATATGCTAGCTGCAGAGTGGACAAATAACATCTGCCCTTACAATAGTTTCCTTTCCAGATCTTTAAGTAGGATATGATTTTCATACCAATTTAAAAGGGCTAACAGTAACAGAATTTTAAAGCTGGGTGATAAAGCTCATTCATTACTTATGAGCATTCATTTAGTATTTGTAGTTTTAATGCCTGCAACTTGCACCTAAATACTTAATGAATCATAATGGCCTGAGTAATATTTCTCTGGCATGAAATGTCTGCAAAATGAAGTATGTGTCTGGGATGAACTATGTTTACTCAAATTATCAGAATATTTCAAATATAAATCTCCTTATTTGCTTTCTGAGAACACTGGAATAGGAGTCAGGCTTGAAAAACCTAGCCAAAAGCAGTACAGATTAAGTTAGAGAGATAGAAGTTAGCAGTAAGTATTCAACCACCAGTGCAATGTTACCTATTTTTAATGTACTGTACCAATTTCATGAACCAGATATTTCTTGTTATTCAACTTTTCCCAAAACTGTTAGTTTAGCTAACAAAAGTGGTTAGCAGTTAGCAGGTGATTTACATGTGAAGTCTTGCTATGAAGACCTACTCTGAATCTTTTTTGCTCATATACCTCCAAAACAGGGAACTCTAAGGGGCATTTTTAATTTCAAAATCAAACCCTTAAGAAATAAAGTGACAAATATTAGCTGCAGTATTTCAGCAGTTATTAACAAGATACAGAACAATACATTAAAAATAAAAACCAAAGAGAAACTGCAAACTATCTGAAGTAGTCTGGATTACAGTCTTACCTGAATACCACCAGATCGTTGCTGTCATTGTTTTCTCAGCACTGGTTTAAATTATTTAATTTTTTAAACCTCTTTTTTAAAAAAGAGCATTACTACATTACTATGTTCTTTACAGTGTATTTGACTTGTCGGAGTTTTTCCAGAGCTTAACTGAGGCAGCTTTCCCTCAAGGAACAAAAGCACCACCTCATTCTGAGCACCATTTATCTCAAAATATGCAACACCTTTCAGTATTTCTGTGTTGCCCCTGTAGGACTACGGCTAAATAGGAGATAAACAACAGGAAAGTACTGAACTACTCATTGTAACAAGTGCCAATAATGTTTTTCATGTTGTCATTAATTACTCCCGTTATTCTGGCTAGACATTTTAAGAAACTCCCCTCAAAATATTGAATCTCTTCCGCGAAAAACAGCATATCCGAGAGTTGAAAAACAAGGAAGAGTAGGAGGCCTACGAACAATGGAAGCTGGTTAACAGCAACGATTCACTAAATGTTCATTTGTGAACGTTTTTTCCCCACCAACTTCCTACCCTAAAAACCTAACTCAAAACATCTGGGATAAAAAAAAAAAAAGACACCTTCTGACCTGGCTCTGTCTTTAGCAAAGCTGTGTGATGTCAGGCTCTGGCTCCCAGCTGCATGTTTCCTTTCACTAACGGAAGAACAGATACAGTTATGCTGCAATGAACCTATAATAGCTTATTTAAAAATTCAAAACCCACAGGCTATTATCCACAATGTTTAAAAAAGAACACAGTTGAGAAGAAACATACCTTAAGTATTTTTAAAAACGAAAAACAGAACTAAAGTTGTGCAAAGTCTACTATGGTAACACTGCTGACCATGAAGATGTCGTCTTTACTATACACCCAACAAGGGTAAACTTGAGAGATGTGTGAATTGCAGAGGGATTCAGCACAAGCAACCCCTTACCAAAATACATGACTTCAGGATCAGAACAGACTATTCATTCCCCATCAAAACAGCAAAAAGATCATGAAGGGACACAAATTCCCATGGTACTTGTGGAATTCTGACAGAAGCATCCTTCTACTGTTTTCTTTCTCCCAAGAGCCAATTCACAAGAACAATTCTTGGAAACATAAACCAGCCTATTACCCCTCACTCTATAGTACCAGGTTGTTGGGGTTTTTGTGTTTTGCTTTGGATTTTTCCTGTGAGATTGGATTATCCTTCCTTTTCACCCCCCAGAAATCAATCATTTCCATTAGGACATGAATTTCACTCTGGGAAAAAAAACAAAAAGTGAATTTATAGGCTTCTACTCAGATGCAATAAACAAACCGTACATTTTCAAAATAATAACTACCAGTAGAAACCTTTATTAGATAGTCAGAGAACTCTGCCACAGACTGGTAGGTAGCTTATTTCTTTTTAAAAAGGAGTATTCACAGTGGAATCTGCAAGCGTATTTACGGACACTAAAGCACAACGTCAATGGAACAGTTAACTACTTTTTCACAGACTTCAAAGTTCTGATATCGGAGTCATATTTTGGACACTGTTCCCTTGCTTTACAAAGATCATATTTTTGAAGATGAAAGAAAGACTAATCATCCAGGGAACTGTATCTAGGTGACGTCAAGGAAACCCAAATAAAGCAAGAATCAAAGTCTTACGCATAAAACACATATAAAGCATGGCTCCCTTTTTACAACCATAATGTTTTTCTCTGTATATAATTTTAGTGACCAAGAATTATTCCTGTTAAGGATGGAATTCTGATTGTCCCACACCTTTACTCTCCTTAGGTTGTACTTGCCTGAAGATCAAAAGAGCTTCTGTATGTAAGGTCTGCTTTAGGCCATGTTATCAATACCACACAATGTCAACTATTTGACCAAGACAGATGCTAAAATAAATTATTGCCAAATGAGAACATGAAAGCTTGAAATTGTGCCTCTATCTTTTTAAAATGTAGATCTAAGTGATATTATGAAACACCATACACTACCAGTGGTCCCTAATTAATAATTAACAGATACCCAGAGAAATGTCTCAACAAGCTATACCCAGGTGGTGGGTTTTTTTTGTCGTTCAGCCTCTGTAAGTAGGAGAGTGACAGGTGTAGAAACAAACAGGAAGAAAACACTCAGTTCTGACCCAACAGTGCTTTCAGTTTTGTCTCTTACACACACACACACACACACACACACACACACACAGAGAGAGACCACCCAAAACATGTGAACTATCTTTTTAACCAGGAATTAGGTAATAACGTACCAAAAAAATTTTTGGTGTGTAAGTGCTCAGCCTTTGTGCCACTCGTAGAGAATATGGCTCCCATACAGTACTAAGGTTTGCAAGCTTACTGTTATTTTAAACTTGCAGTTGTTACATTGCTTATACTTGTAGGTCTGAGAGAAATAACATTGCTCCAGGTGAAGTGTGCCTGGGACAAGCTCCCATCAAGAACTCCTGGTATAGTCTAAACATCTCTAGAACATGTAGTACCTCTTTTTCCCAGTTTATACATAGCTTTTGATACAACTCTTACTTGTTTTCTTAAGAATGCCTAAAAAGGTGAGTTATTTTCAAAATTAGTATAAAGTTAAAAGAAACTCAAACTAGCTACAATCTATTAACTCAAGCACAGCACCGCCAGAATTTTCACACACACTATTTGGTGTTTCATGTTGTTTTTCCTTTCACTCTTTAAGGCAGTGGTTTCCACAGGTCAGTTCAGAGAATATAACGAAGCATGGTCCACGGCAATTCATGCTGCAACTCCATTTTTAATTTAGGGGACTCTACTCCCCAACCATTAGTGGTTCTGTTCAGGGCTCCAGAGTTCAGAGATCAAGTTGACAGGCTCTGTTCTGGCACAGAATACAGCTGGCACATTTTTCATCAGGACCTCTTTCTCAATTATGAGATGGTTCAAACTGGGGTTTTTTCTGTTTTGAATTAGCCTATTATTCAAAGGTCATCAAGTTGGCAGGAACCTGAAAACAAAAACATAAGTGATAGCAGGTTTTACTTTGGGTAGTAGCTACTTCCATTCCACTGTTTTACAGGCTATCCACCTGTTTAAATGCACATCTTTAACGCTAATTCGTCTCAAAAAAAGGAGGAGGAGGAATACAACTATCATTCAGCAGTACAACTATACTTAGAGCTGTAGAAAACCCAGGTATAACCAAAGTATTAAACTGCTGCATAGTTTATAATTTTATTATATGTCCATAGATCTTAAAAATTTTGATGACATTTAAGACTTAAGTTGTCAGCAAAACAACCTTAACATGATAAATATCAGCACCAAACTACACAAGCAGAACCTTCTCACTTGAGTCTCAGCTAGAGAATTCTTGGCACACAGGTCAGTGATTGATGTAGGCCCTCTAGTATTTTAAGACTAATTAAAAAACCCAAGGCATAAACACTTGCCTGGGCTTTTCCCTTAGGACACCTGAATGCCTGCTGCAGACATCACTCTCTTTCGTGAACATTAAAGCTAGTTTGCATAACATTAGTTTATATCCCCATTTTCTCCCCATCAGGAATTTGTGTGACAGCAACATTTCCTGTTTACTCAGATAAAAGAGCAACCACATTCCTGATGACTGTCAAAAAATACCCTGTCTGGTCAGATTTGAAGCAAGCATTTGTTGTTTTGCATTTAACCTTTACCTGTAGAATCAAGAAAGATGAACTGGGCTAAAGTTCCACCCTTAAAATTAAAAATAATATTTATTAAAATAGTTCTCAATATTTTTCATCTGGGTAGTGGTCTATATCAAAAGCACTTTTAAACATCCAATCTTTCTTAACTGGTCATACTGTTAACAAGAAAACTAGATCTTCCATTCTAAACAGTACCATAAGGCATCTCTCCAGAGAAAGCACTGCTCAGGAGTCAAATCATGATCAAGAGAAAAAAATTTACAGGCTATTTTTTTACTCATTTGGTAAGCCAACCTTCATAACCTAATGTTTGTGTGAAGCACTGCTTCTTCTATGGGAACAACTATGCTGCAAGAAACCATCTAGCATAACTACACGTGTCAGAAAACTGAAAATATGCAACAAATTATGGTAGCAGGCGTTTGGGCCTTTTAGTGGTAGGTTTTGTTCGTTAATCCTCCCCTCTTTTTTTTTTTTTTTTTTTTTTTTAAATCTTCACTTTGCTGTCATATTTTCCACAGGAGGCCCTGCCAAGATCCTTATGCATGCCGCTTTTGCACAAGTTAGGAGCTGAATGCTTTAAACAAGTATGCATTAAATAGCATTGTTAAGCCTTATTGAATAAAAGCTGTCCTTGGAGGGCAGTTTTCAGGCTTGCCTGGAAGTCACCACTTTTCTTTCAAACTCTTTGCCACTATTTGCTACTATTCTCACATTCTTCAGCCAGTAACACAATTTCCTCTCTGCACTGTCCCAAAAAACTTCCACGGGAGCTTCTACAACCCTCCTTACTCCTTAGATTTCTCTCAGAAGGAGAACTGAACAAGAAAGCACAGAAGGATCTGGAAAGGTCCTTTTATTTCTCCTTAAAATACTTTTGCTCTGGGAACTCCATAAACAAACGTGCAAAGGAAAAGGGAGATTTCAGGTAGACAAAGTGGTAACTTAAAAAGGATTTTGCTGATAAAAACATCAGTAAGAATTTATATGGGAACTGAACTTAATAGATGTTGGAGTGGCCTTTTCTTTTTTGATTAATGGAAAACTCTACCTTTGCTTTCAGTCTGTCAAAGGTACCTAGGACTAAACTATTTTTTTTAATACACTTTAATGCACCTTTAATACAAACAACAGAAAACATGCATGCCCAAGACGTGACAAAATGGCACTATGGAAGAGTTATCTGGAACTGATATTTTATGTTGCAGTTTGCAGCTTTCTATGTAACTGTAAAATAACCTTTTTAAAATAGACAATGACAAAAATACTGCCACCGGGACAGATCTTTTAGAGCGTTTCTTCAATTTTCCCAATTCCTTTAACTTAGCCCCAAGATACCCCTAAATCTTTCTTCATTACCACAGAAGCTCTGAGGACTTATTTGCAAAGGGACAAACAGGAAAGCTAAGGCAAATCAATTAGCATGTGAAATCGATATACAGGCAGCTCAGAGTAAATGGTCTTTCGTACAAAGCCATCAGCTACAGCTGGTCATCTTAAAGACCTGTCAATTCTGAGCTCTTAACAACTCATACTCCTTTTCAAACTTCTTGCTCTCACCTGTTGTCTGTTGCTTTGGCAGGCAGCACTCAGGTGTTTAAACCACAGCATGGCATTTGTTCTGTTTCCAGCTTGAAATTTATATGAATTTCCTGAGAGAAAGGTAGAGAAAAAAACTGATAAACACAAAACATACTATATATTTGAATCCTACCCATATTCAAATAATTCTAAATTAAAACAACATGAAAAGATTCAATAGCAGAAGGTTCATAAAACTTCACACTTTGTCTGGCACAGGAGCAACTTAATTATTTGACCTAGTGTGAGAGAAGTTTCAGCTTTCCTGTCTTCCATTCCAGCAGTCTAGATTTCAACTAACACCAGTGTCAACTAGCAAAGAACAAAAAATTTCTTGGAACCATACAACAAATATATTTTAGTTCTTTGCCATTATTGCAATTTGATTATATCACTTAATATTTTTTTAATGAAGTGCAAGATAGCACTGAAATACACTCTAGAAAGCTAAATTTGAAAATATTAGAAAATTGTTCCTAAACATATTGATGCATTTCAGACTAGTATTTTCAGTATCTGGTTGTTATACAGTGCTTGCTTGGGTTCAGAAAGGTCATGTATTACAAAAACATTTCAGGTTGCTGTTGCTGAGTTTAAGTTGACAAGCATTCATAATTTACACCACATATCAGTGGTGCTAGAATAGATGCTCAGAAATAAAACGTACTAAGAACTGAAGTAGACAAAGCAATGAATGATGCTAAACTTCATCATCAGAACTTCTAATGATGCTCTTTCTGCATAGTTTGAACTGCTATGGAAAAGTAACAATTTCTTCACAAATTTAAACTGAAACCAGGGCACTATGCTGGTGTAAGGGAAATCAAGGCTTCTCTGCAAAACAGTCAAGATGCCTTAGGTTTTCTTCCCCTGGTAATAACGCTACATTTGAACAGATGGTTTGGGTTTTGTTTTTCATTTGTAGAGGGGACTGGTCCAGCACCTAGTGTTAGCTGAATATTGCATTTTTTTATTGTTACTTACATTTTCACATATGTGAAAAATGCCTGTGAGTGGTCTAAACATAGTTTAAAAGAATGCAGATGAATATTTCCAATAAAAATCACAACTGGAGTTAAGAGTTTGGAGAGTGCTTAGAACTTAATGAAGACTCTATGGATTCTCCATGGACAACTGTTCCCACAGCATTTTAAAGACAAATATGACATGTTGGAGAGCAGCTGAATAAGTAAAAGGTAACGTGCTTCCCGTTTCATCCAGTTGCTTATGAATACCTCAGCAAAGCAAATATTTATTCTGGGAATGGCTGCACTCTTGGTGCTAGCATTGCTCACCCTTCTCAGAATCAGTCAATAAGAAGAGATCTGGATGCTCAGGATCATCTGCCATCATCACCATCCAGCCCACCACTGACACGTTCTTACTCGGTGTGGATTTGAACTGAAAATACAAGCAGAGGTGTAAACTAAAGTAAAACAAGAAGCTTCAGCCAGACTGACTGCACAGACCAAGTATTCAAAAGAGCAGTTCTTCTCAGTGACACTGTTAAAGACACAGAACAACTTCAAAGGAAACATAACACTCCATAAAATTAAGGAAGTTTATGATTTTTTATATGGAATTAGTAATAACGGAACTTGCCACAATGAATTATATTCAAAACAAATTAAAAGGAATATCAATCTTCTAAAATGTGTCAAACTGCACAGTATGAATACAACAGCGTTCCTCACCACATTACTGCATATATGTATGAATACTATAGTTCAAAAAAGTGCATTAAATAATTCAAAGCTTCTCTCTCCACTGTTAACAAACAGAATTACACTTGTCTGTGCCATAATTATTTGAAGTTAACATGCATTCATTATTATAATAGTCTGTAATTACACATAACAAGTCCTGTGGACTAGATAACACAACTGTGTAAATAAATATTATGACCCAATGAATGAAATGGAACCAACGAGGGCATAGATTCAATAAACATGCTCATCTATCAACAAGAAGCTTAAACAATGGGGTTTTCCTATTAAAGGTGTTACATAGACATATAACTTAGGCCTCTTCTAAAGACAATACTTGTCTGTGTTACATTAGCCCCTCTTGACAGCTCCTTGGTCCCACTCTCCTTTTCATTGACCTGGTCAGTATTATTTTCTGCTTCACAGGCTTCTCCTCTCAATATCAGGCTACATGTCCATTAAATCCAACTCATTTTCAACTCATTTCACAAGTCACCTCTCATTACTTGCTCAGACAGTCCCATTCACTCCCCAATACCTAATTCATTCAGTTTCTCTCAAGTCTTTTGTTGACAGATCTCCTCTTCCCACATTCATAGGTTGAACAGACTTCATCAATCCTAGCACTCTCACCCTCTGCCCAGAAGGTCCAACTCTGCTATACACTGGTCTTTATCAGATATGTTTTCCTCCTGTCTTGTGAAATCCCTATTCTAACCTCTTTATTAGCACAGTAATTTTGACCTCTCTTTAATTTCATTATTAGAAATGATAAAGCTGAAACAAACTCAGGGATGTTTTAAGTCATTCAAATGAATTTATAGTTCTAGAATACTTTTAACCTTCATACTAATACCGCATAGAAGATTTACAACATAAAGCATCAAGTGTCTTTTGTTTTATCTTAGAAATACTGCTTTACCATTACAAATCTAGAACTCTAGTTCAGCAAAAGGAAACATTACTGCTAATAAGTTTCAGGGTATCACAAGCAAAGTAAGAATTTATAAGAATATTCTCTATAAGGGAACATAATTACTTTATAAATAAAATTCCACTTCAAGTCTAAAGCCAGTGATTCTATTATAGAATTATATTATAGATTAACTGGAGACCTTGAATGTCCAGGTAAGTTTATCTGTTTGGGACTTTTGCAACAGGCTATGTTTTAAACTGAGGTTTAAAATACATTAGAACTTTAAGTGAACAAATGTTAGACCAGTATTTTAAAGAAAAATATTTTAACTGAGTTCAAAATAATTCCAAGTCCAGTCTCTCTGTATCTTACAAACTTTTGACTGCATCATCTGTGTACTGCCCTCTAAGTTGCTATAGTTACACTTGCAGGAACCATTCCATCACAAGTTCCTACCAGACATGTTCAGCTGACATTTATGTAACTTCAGTGGAAATATAAAAGCTTGGAAAATTTGAAGGGATGCTTGTACAGATAGCTTAAGCATAAAAGTGATGATGACTGTTCTTAGGTAAGACCTGTCTGACAAGCTTCAAAATTGATGCCCTTTTTTTGATACTGCCTTTGGGAAGGGGACAGATTTGGTTACACTTCATCAGAAGACAAAGTAAATGATAAAGCTCTATTAGATAACATTTCATTACAGTGAGAGCCAGGTAACATAACTTCTTTCTAAAGAGAAACTAAAATTTCTTTGAAGATTCCAGTCAGTAATGAAAAATGTTAAGGAATTTTATCTGAAATATGGAATAAGGACGAGGAAAGGAAATAAAATAAAGATGTAACTCATGAGCTCTTAAAAATTAAAAAAAGGAAGTATACAGACCCACTGAAGACACTGCCTCAAAAAATAAGATGACAAAACTTACACTTAAAAAGGACCTGAGAAATGCAAATTTCCAAGTAGCCCTACAAAGGATTAATGGGTCGTTTTCACAGAGGTGAAAATTTGAGTCACAAAGCAGTTTTTAATAGGTTACAGATTGACAATGCACCTCTTGAACTGCACTCATTTCTAGTTTCATGCAAACAGTACAACTGTACTCTCCTTAGTTGTATTTCATAACAGTAGGTATACAATATGTGAAATTACCATGCGATCAAAACTGCTAGAGCTTGCTTGTTTTTTCATTTTACTCAAAACAAGTAGTTAATCCCAGTACTTCTCTGAAAAGTAAAAAGCTCCACACAAGGGAAGTGTTTCCTGCCAGCATCAATCCGTCATCACTTAAAACACATGTCAGTTTTCCATCCCTGTGCATGGCTGGATTTGTATTCCACGTTTACATAGTCCCCCAGGGCAGTTCATTCTCCATGATGCACAGAGCCTTGCTAACAGCAAGTCTGCTTTGTTAACATGAAGGTAATGAAAGCTTCATTGTAATTTAATGTTCCTGGTTCCTCTTTCCTTTTTTTTTTTTTTTAAACAGGCCACTGGAATGACACTTATTATACACATCAAGAACTACACAGCTCTGGTGCTAGGCTTCACATAACTAAATGTTTTGGTGGTTGTTGTTCTGAGCTCGAAGGCGTTTATACATAAATCTTTGAATCAAAAACTCTGAATTAATCTGTGAACAGACTTTTCACTTCAACCTTTTGGCAACTACAAATCTCCTCCTCCTCCTCATCTCCTGTTGAGATTTTACAGCTTTCTAATACTCAAATAATTTTCTCAGTGACTGAACATACTTCCTAGAACGGCAGCATTCTTTATCAGGGTATTTCAGTGTAAGTGCCTGCACAACAACTACCAAGTTTTCTAGAATGCCAGTAAAAGGGTCTAATTCTGAATATAACATGCAGTGAAAGGCTTGGAATGAACAAGGGTTTATGCCTAAGCATGAAGCCTCAAAAAGTCTCTGCTGCTTTTCCAAGTACCTACAAATATAGAAAAATCTCATGCATGCTATGTTTTCGCAAAAATTAGTAAGATTCTTCCAGACCAGTCGCTATAAACAGTTGTTTTATAGGTGCATTCACATTTCACGGTGAATGCTTTAAGATGAATTTTAAGTTGGTTTTCTGAAGGTGTGCAAGTGCTAATTTTATCACAGAAGCTTGTTTGTGGGTACCATTTCAGCATACGAGATAAAACCTTAAGCATTCTACACACATTCCTTTCAGATTGTCCTGTACCGCATCTCTCAGCTCTGAAGTTCACATGCTCACTACAGACAATTTTCCATTACTGTCGTAGTAACTGAAACCTGATCACTATTTAAAACATAAAGCTCTTTATATTTAGTAGTCTTTCTTGGTAGATGCAGCACAAGAAAGTCTGTCACATCCAGGTATCTACAGCATCCTCTTCCTTTGGACTAGATTCACATCTACAACACACACTATACTGGATGCCCTCCTTTGACCACAGCCATGAGAAGAAAAGCGAGCTTGCTAGTGTCTAAAAGGGAGGAGATATCTTGCCCTTTTTGTTGGATTACATTGGGATTTTTATGAGGTAATTTTCCAAAGAGGATGGCTATTATAAGCCTGGAAGCGCTCTGAGCGTCGGCGCATTCCAAGTCCTCAGTCTCAGCTGCCTGAAGCAAGAGCAGCAGCAGAACAGTCAAAAGCATGCCTGTAATCAAGACACAGTTACCATGAGACCTCTAGCCAGGAAACTTTATATAGCAGACTGACTTTTTTTGTTGCCAGCATGCCTTTCCATGTCACAGAGGCCTTGAGAAAGGAAGCTGAAAAGACAGATGTTTGCATGGCACCAGCATGGTCCCAGAAGATGCTTAGAATATTTTACCTAGGCAAATCTCAAATGTATCAATCTTTGAAAAAGAAACCTATCTCAAAAGGAGACAGCATCAATGTTTTAATCCATTTAATATGGACAGTAACAAAACAAACCTAGATCTAGCCTCAAATCTCTTAATTTTGCAGAATGGACCTCTTTGGAATATCACTGGACAGCAGTTGTACAGTGAACGTATAGTCATGTGCTAGCTATCTACAGATAGCTGACCGGCTACAGTTTACTCTCTTAACTTTTTTTCTGAAAATGTAACCAACTGGGAATTGAAGCATGACACTTCATAAGCCATCTTCACAGACTCCAGAACAAAAGCTAAGTCTTTATATAACCCTGTAGGGAAACGGATGGAAACCTAAGCCATCAATAGCTAGGCTAAATGTACAACACAGGTAGACTAGCTGAACAAAGTTAGTGACCACCTATTACCAAGCTGTTTAATAAACTGGAGCCTCCTGGCCTGTTACCCAAGCCTCTGTCTCCCACAGCAGTTACTAGGTTATTTTCCACCTTAATTTCAGCATAAAGAGTATACACTGCATTATAATAACCTTCGTAACAGAAGTATGTGTGCATTCACTGGGAAGTATTTGTTTAAATAGAAGACAATCCAAACTGTAGCTTATAGGCATTATATTATTTTAGCCATAACTGTACCTGGGAAACCACATCAGAGACCTGAGCTTCCTAAAATGCTTTGTATTCACAAACAAACCAAAGTATGTTTGTTGCCCTAAAAACCTAAAAGCAAGGCATCAGCTGTGTACAGACAAACCCAAGGTTGTATTGGATAGTTCAGTCCAATTTCATAGAGCCAACTGAAAAAAGAAATCTGCTCTAGCAGCCATTACCTTTTACTACCACTCCTCCACTTCCCTCTCCTGGGAACTGCGTTGCTCAAACTCCACTCAGTAATTTGCAAGCCATAGTGCTGGCAGGCTTCTGATGATGATGGGTAATCCTGCCAGCATTATGAACTTGAAGGTCTCCTAGTCTCTATCTGCAAACTTTCTTACTCGCCTCTTGGCACATTTGTGGACAAATAAACACAAGAACATAAGGATGACAGAAGATTTCAGTTTCGTAGGCACTAGTCTCTGTTCACTAGTAGTTTAGTTGTTGTAGGTATCACAACACATCAGTGACTTGGAATATTAAAAATCCATTCAATAGGTTCAGAAAGTAATTTTTGAAAGAGCATTCTTAATGGATATAACTGCATTTCAAGACAAAAGTAAAGCCTTTTGCAGTAACAGAGACTGGAGAGGACCAGATACCAGACTTGAATGTTTACATTTGTTACCTTTTTACTTCATTTACTTTTCCTAAAGAAAGGGCAAGACCATTTCAATGATTAAAGCTGTTATTCTGAAGGAAATGTATAACAAATGGACTACATAAACATTCAATGAACTTAATTTCCAAACAACAAAATTACCAGCTATGCAATTTTTCCAAGTTCTCTAAACCCATATGTTATTTAGATTGTTTTAAAATATTTTTTACAATACTGAAAATTGTCAAAGTTTGAATGATGGAAGACTTTACCATATTTGTACCTATTCAGACAGTGGACAAGAGAGACTTACAAATGCATAGTCTATTCTTAAAAGAAAACAAAATGCAATTTTGGCATAAAGCCTGAAGGCATCAGTAACAGGAGCATAAAGTCTGACATTACAAAAAATTTCTTTTCTGTTTCTCAATGATTCCAGAAAAAACAATCAACTGTTAGTCACAAAGCCAGTACAAGTTCTCTCTTGCTTCTTTCTTTTGCTTTAATACTTTGCATTTCTGCTCATAATTGTTTACAAGTCTGTTCTTTCCAACTACCTCTACTTTTAATGAGACAGACTCCTTCCATAACATTTTCAGTGATACTGGACGCAAATGCATCCAAACACATACACTTCTCTAAAGACACCCAGGAGACAGGATACCTGGCCAAGAGGCCTTTGGTATGGGCTAGTATTGTCCTACCTGGCAAGACAAACAGTGTAGGATGCGTTTTGGTTTCACCTAAGCAATCAAAGCTAGTAGGGGTGGGGCAGATGGATGACAAAGGAAAGATGTAAATATTTCTACATATAATTAGCTATTATTAAACTACTTTGAGTATCAGAATACTGTTTCCTAATGAACTACTTTCAATAAAAGAGGCAAATACTCTTTTTTTTTTGGTAGATTAAGACAATTTCCACACAGAAAATTCCAGTATCCAGGAACATCCCATTCAGAAATCTTATGCTTCAAATCTCTACCTTCTGAACATAAAAATTTTATAAGAAAACAGCATTTTTTTAACCAAAAAGAAATAAGATAGTCCCCTTACAGGGATTCTAGAAGCACATCTCAGTTTGTTCAATTATATAAGCTTTATGCAAAGCAAATGTTTTCCAGTGACAGCTGTCATAAATTAAAATAGAACACTGGCCAAGGCAACTATAAGTAATGGTTCTGAGTAGCAAATGACCTCAAAAAAAGGTCCAAGTATCTTAAATCTTACCCAGTTTCCTAACAGAATCTCTGGCAGCACCTCTTCCATTATAATTAACCAGTAAAAACAGGAACTATGGACATCATAACATCCCTGGAACATCTACAGAAAATCCTTTTACTGCTTCCCAAATAAGCAAAGTATTTTTAGCTCCTTTCAAATAAAGTTGCAGCTAATAAAAGGAAAGCCAGCATCACGAGATATGCTAGCGCTCTGCTTAACACATGAAATGTTTTGTACTCTTGTATTTAGCAGGATTAAAAAGAGAGGAGTCTAATTTTACCACATATATGAAATCAGTACATGTTTAATGTCATATGTGGTGACTTCTCAGTCTTTTCACATCAATGCTTGTTTGGATTTCAAGTAGCAACAAACTATTGCAAGCCTCAGAGATTATCAAAAGATATGACTTCTACCTTAGAAAAGCAGACAAACCCAATGACATAGTTCCCTTCCTTACAGACCAACAAATTCAAAGAGACCCATGGCATATGTAAAGCAGATGTTCTTGGTGTAGCACATGAACGTGCATGATATTTCCATTAGGGCATATCCCTATGAGGTGACTGACTGACTGGAAGACAGGATAATGCTGACTAGAAATCATGCAAATCCTGAACTATTCTCAGTGTTTACATCAGGAAATCACATTTTAATTTTGGCAGATGAGACTGGAACATGCTTGGTTTGCATACATGTTTTCTCTCTGTAGCCTTCAGAGATTTTGCAGCATAGTAAAAGAGTTGGGTTCCACACAGTGCTACCCAGTATTTCGTCCAAGATGCTACCTAAAGAGAAAAGACAAAAACCAAAAAAAGCAATGGATAAATAAAATGTTTCATAATATCAAGCCTTAAAATAACAGGCATCATCCTGCAAAAAAGTGACAGCACTAACAGCCCAGCCAAACCATCAGCCATGTTTCCAAAGATGATGTTTCTAGTTATTTGTGTGGGCCTATGAATGCATTAAAAATCTAGAAAGTGGAAAGAATATATGTTCCTTTCCTCACTAATCTGAGAAAATTTTTCTGCATGTTACTCTATACTTTCTGCAACCCTTGTTGAACACTTTGCTGAGGTAAGAGTACATTTGTCCCTTTTACATTTTATGTACTGTCATAAGGTATCCCCCATTGTCATGAATATGTATTTTGATTTATAATTCATCACCAAGCATTGCAAATGATAAGGGTTATTACTTATTGATAAATTCATAGGATTCACTTACCATTCTTAACATTCAGAAAGACAAAACTTGTTCCTCTCTTTTAAAGTTATCAGTAATTGTAAGAAATCTTGTGTAGCATTGCACTTCTCTTCTACTCTTTAGATTATGGGTATAGCCTAATATACCGCATAAATCCACCAAACAGAAGAATGCAAACTCGAGCAGTGACCCTAAGCCTTACTCAGCCAGGCAGAGGTGGTCTTGGACACCTGAATTAGTTGCACAATGCCATTTTATTGTATTTATAACTGGGAAAAGGAAGATGAGAAAATGAATTTAAAATCTTACTGTAGGTTTTTTGCCTTCTTTCAACAAAGTCTTCCTCCTGAGAACACCTTGAATAGTAACTGCTCCTGGATACAAATGAACAGCCAAATCTTCAGATTCTAGTGAGCTGAAAGGAGCATGTGAAGATTTGTGTGAAAAAGTATTTTTCCTAAAGTAGTTTTCCAATCATTACCACAAACTAATGCAAACATCTGTATTTTAATTTAGAAACGTCAACTTTTTATTTATTGGGCTTTGTTGTGGAAAAATACTTTGGTTGTTACAAGGAATTGCTGTTGTGGAATTTACACTCACAAGCAAAAGTGATCAGAAAAATTAATTAGCCAAGCAGGTAATCCTTAATTAAAAGAATTAAAACTTAAGACACAACTGAAATACAAGAACAGTTAATTTTAAAAACCAAACAGTTGAAGTACATTCATACAGTTGCTGTATGTGTTAAAAACCTCTCCTTCAGCCCTTGCAAGAAAGATTTGAGTATTTTTTTGGTTAGAAACACTAGAATCATCACCACATCAAAAACAAAGCATAGCTCAAGCATGCACAATTTTTAAAATATCTGAAAGCAAGAAGAGTGGGCAGGAGCAGTAATAAAGAGTAGAAACCCAAACCACAGCTTTAAGGTGTTTTAATGCATCTGGTGTTTTATTAATCATTTATCCTATGTGGGATCTAAGAGCAATGGGCCAAAACAAATGCCAGGTACAGCACTGTGAAAAGAAAAAAAACCCTCAGCTTTATTAAAACTACAAAGCTGACTGGCTTACAAAACACAAAAAAATTGGAAAAAATTTACAACAGAAATCACTTCAGTAAATGTCAATCAGAGCATATAACTAAATTGCCAAGAAACTGAACAGTGCCTAAAACTTGTTTTGAAGTAAGCCAGGATTTGCTGTTTCATCCATCCTAACATTCATGAACATTCAAAGTAAAATGGAAATCTGATAAGTATTTTCATTGCAGCACCTACTGAGAATGATGATATGGAGACAATTTTGGACATTGATAGATGTGAACATGAATTTAATTTAGGGAGACAATGATTACTTCCTAACATGAAAAAAGTTTCATAGTTAATGGCCATCTCCTTCCCAACTACAGTGCCACAGAGCTGGAGACAGCATTTGTGTTTTAATTAATCAGAATAATCAGTTATATTACTCTGTCAGCTTGCAATAATACTATATTATACTAAATTTGGGGCAATTTTAATGCATTACTCATTTTAGCCACATAACTGCTTTCAAGGAACAGGGAAAAAGAAATTCAATATAGAACTGCCAGCAAAGAAAATATCTTGAATGCTACCCATCAGCATAAGCAGCAGCTTTGTTGTCCACATGAGAACTACCAACACTGCTACCGAGTGACAGGCAGTTAAAAAGCTACTTCTGGTAAAACATCTTTAAACTTTGATATGAAGAACCAATGATTCAGAATTTGGATTTGCAGACCAGAATGAACAAATATCCTTATGGTGATTCAGATTAAGTCACAGAAAAGGAAAGCTTTAAGTCTGAAGAAAAAGGTCTCTACCTTTATTATGACATGTAAGTTAGAAAGATAACATCAGAAAACACCCACTTAATTATTAAACCAAACCAAATCACCAACACCAGAGGGAAAGTTTGACACCTCTGTGTGCAGTGGGGATTGTACCTGCTGGCCTTCATGTGGCCTCGATAGCCATTTCGTGACACTCTTGTCCCCGGACCGAGAGAATGGTACAACCTGTTCCTGTTGGATTCCATTATAAATTGTATGTATTACATATACTTTTATTCACACAAACAGCACGACTGCTAAAACAGTATTTTTTTGTGTGTGCATATGCAAAGCCACTTCTTCCACGTAAGAAACAGGATAATTTCAGTTAGAAAAATGCATGCAGGGGTAGATACCACGTTTTTTTATTTTATCAAATGTTCTCTTTGTCAGAACTCATAATACTGAAGTGTTTTATTGACACTGAACAATAATACATTTTGAGAGCAAAGTCTGAATTTAGTTCTTAGAGATGAAATGAACGTAAAGGGACATATTAATAAAAACTGTCTTTAAATTCTGTTTCTTGATGTTACTACCAAAAAATAGTTTCAACTTCTATGAGTATGCACACACACAAGCTGTTGGACTATCAAAATATGCCTGACGCTGTTTAAAATACTGTTGTATAAACTCACACTGAAATAAGCTAAGCAATATTTCAATTCTCCAGTTCATATAAACTTTACCTACAAGCTTGATGTTTTAGAGTCTTTAGCCTGGTCTATATTCTTATCCCTAGTCAGGACTTGTGTTGTGGACCTGCCTTCTGAACAACGCTTTGCTTCACTGAACCTTGTTTTTCTGGATCAGACCCCTCAGCCTACTGAAGTCCATTTAAGTCAACAGAAGCATAGGCACTTTGTCCTCACCTCCTATTTTTTAACCTGTTTTTCTAGTTGCTTGTAGTATGCTGAAAGATTGAAAATCGGCTCCAATTCTGCAGAAGCAGACAGTTAAGTACAAGCCTATTACAATTTATAGGCAAAATCTCCTACAATCTGTCACCTACAAGAGGAGCTTTGCATTAGCTGGAAAGCTGCAGTATTTCTCCAATGGGAAACCTAAGCAAACAGCACTGTCATGTTTCACTCAGTATAGAGCAGGCAAACAGACTTAAGAGATACAGTAAAGGTCAGCAGCATTAAAGAAAAATGGGGTATTTTGTTTTTGCCATTTTGTTTTTTTAAACCAGCTCAAACTATTGCTTTTGCTGCAAGAAGAATTATCAAATACACTAATGAATTATCATCTAATCTATCCCAGAATTTGCTTTTCAACATAACTGGTATCTTTGAATTTATGTATGAGTTTTTCAAAAAATATATTCAAGATATAGACAAAATCTTAATTAATATGAAGAAAACTGTAATACGAGCTGTATATTTGTATATTTTGCATGCAAATGAAATACATTTCCTTCTTATCTTTAAGCTTGTTTTTTTTCATAACAAGGAGGCTATCACTCTTGGGATTCGAGCTATTTCAGGGAAATCTATTTAGAGACACTCAGGATGACAACCTATGAGACTGAAGAGCCACTTAGTATACTGCCCTTAACATGATATAACTGTCAGGACTTGGAATTTAAGTCCTTCAAGTAATTTTGATTAGCTGTAAAGGACATCCCAATGCTGAAAGCTCTTTCTCAAGTTTCCAACTAAGTTTCTGTTGCACTTGAAAACTAGTGACTCTAGTTCTCATGCCTTCTGCATTTCCCAGTTACAAACAACAGGAGGGCCCAGAAATGCTAGAATATTTGTTACTATTCCTTCTGTTATCTGGGGAATCTGTGTGTGGAGTATCCCTTTTCTTCCTGTTAGGCATATTAGGCAGATCTAAGCCTTCCCAGCCAAAGATTCTGATCCTCAATCACTGGGAAATTCCCACTTTCACTGCATAGGAAGCAGTCATTAATAACACTGGATGTATCCCAATTTTGCCAGTAGCTGTTCATTCTAGACAACTAATGCTCCTCCCTCATTTAAAGACTCTTAAAAGAATGCAAACCCACTGTACAGATCAAAACTAGAGAAACTCCTCCAGTTATCTTAAATTGTGACATCTGCATGTCAGTGCAGTACCTATTAAATATGAAAACATGCTTCATCATCTTATAAACCAAGGAAGAGACACAAGGTTGCTGTGTATGTCTAGAAATTTCACACATGATATTGTGAACGTCTGCAAGGAACCCAATCCCTCTCCCTAGAAGCAGCCAAGAGCAGTCACCCTGAAAAACATGCAACTCCAGAGTTCTCAAAGAGCACTCTCAGGAGAAAAGAAAGTATTGAAGGCAAGTGGAATTTGGAGGAGGAGGAGTCTTCTGACATAATTGTTTGACATGGAGCAAACCTTTTAAATGGGAGTCTGGACCAGCCAGTTCTCATTAGGACAGGGATGAAAAACTGCTTTATCTCAGAAGGCCACACAGCAATTCTGGAGTGTTACCATGAGCTTAAGCCTGAGGCTTACTAAAACTTCAGTTTTTGTTACTCGAGGTAAAAGCACTCAGTTCCCTGTTTTGTCTAAGGCTTTTCCATATAACTTTTTTTTGCTTTGAGAATAACCTGAACTCGATTAATTCTGTAAGGCAGCAAGGCAGGAAAAATCAAGAAAATCTGAATGTTACAGGTTGCATCAATGCATCACTGAGCACATAAAAGTTAAGAGATTTTCTTGCTGTGCTCATGTGGAATGTTCTTATTGCTTACATAATGGAATCGTAAGGCATTTCATCATGTATGTAATGGTATTTATAGTATGAAATATCAAGAGTTCACCTTTGGCACAGAGAGATTTTCAAAGATTTCTTCCTAAAAGTTAACACAGAAGTTCAACTGCTTCAATGAATTCAAGCAGAATATAAGGTTTGTGGTAACAGTTCACAACAATAAAGATAAAGTTCTTTGACAAAAATTGCTACAAAACACATCTTCAAAGCATCCATGGCAACTCTGAAGCTGATGAATTACCTGAAATTGAGTTAGATAAACGAACTACACACTGTATTGTGCATCTTACTCAGCTGTGGAAAGATGAAATTTCTACCTTTTACTATATTAAACTACAGCTATTCATCTTTTTCCATATTCTCAAATACAACATGGGAAAGGATTGAAGCGGTCAATGTCACCTGAGAATTTGCAGGTATTGGAAAAGGAACAAGTAGTTAATTCTGGACCACAAAAATCAGACATTAGCAAGGGGAATTTCTATGTTTCCCCATGTAACACAAGGGCAAGTAAGAATGAAGATAAGAGAGACAAAATAGGTGACAATATCAATGACAAGAACAAAGGGACCAAGAACAGATGAAATCTCAGGGAAGGTGAAAATGAAAAAAGATAGTTCACATGAATAGCATACACAGGATATACAAATATAGAAACCTGAAAAATATCTGGGGTTTAATAGTATTCTGGTTGAGCTGTTTAGAAGAATGTGTGCAATGAGTAATCACCCCATCAGACAAAAGCCCTATTAACTGTGAGCAGAAAGTACTTCTCTGCTGCTTTAACAGATCTGGTGAACTTACTACAGTTTATTAATATTCTTATGTATGGAAGATCTCTAGATCACTAAAATAAAGCATCACTTTCAGGATTGAGTGAGAGATTGTAAGTAGCAATGTCTGAATAGAGAAGTGCAGGTTTTGAATGGCAGTTTTTCTTACCTTTCAAATGCTGGCCAGGAAGTCTCTTCACTGAGTTCAGAACCATCACTGCTACCTTGAAAAAAGTAAGAATGAATGATACTTTATTCCATCATCTACAGTAATTTCAATTTTGTACGTTTCTCCTCAGAATATTTAAGTGTGTAAAATATTCTTCACAGAAATACCGCAATGAAAAAACTCTGTGATCTGCTTCAGGAATTTCACATAAACCAAGGCAGAGATCTGAAGGGGTTGGGTCTAGGTGCACATTAAGAAGTTGAAGAAAAGGAGTGCTAATAAATGGGAAAGGCATTTTCAAAATTCCTAAATGCAGATTTGTATTTTAAAAGAAAAGTCACTTAAGTAATTCCTTATGAAGTCATAAATGGTCATGACACAGAGGTGCAAGTTTGCAGCAGTGCAAACTTACTGCTGAATCTCCAATCCGTTAGAAGGCTTTGCTAATTTGAGAAGCCTTAAACAACTTTTAAAGCTATCTCCCACCTACTCAGATCACAATATTTTTTCCTTCTGTGCTTCACAATGCAATCCGGTATTACTGCAAGTATTTTATTTTAAACACTGAAAGTAGAAGAAAAACACAAAATCCAAGTATCTGATGCATCCACTCATGGCAAGCCCATAAATCACATATTAACTTTGCAATCATAGTAAATTCCATTAGCCTGAAAATCAGTATTTAAATACAGACACAAGGTAGCATTATCTGTAATGTTGTTAAAAATCAGTAACTATGTTTCCCTATAGAAATGCTGTTAAGAACTCAGTAACTTTAGTTGTAACAGTACTATAAACTATGTTCAAGCTGTGGTCTCGCAAGGTCTTCACCAAGGTCTTCACCTTTCAGACCAGACCACCTTCCCATGCCAGCCACCATTCTCACCCTCCACTTCAAGCCAAAATGTGTTTTTGTCTTCAGATGGTCCCAACTCCTCAGTTTCAGCCTAATTCAATGTCAGCTACTGCTAAAAGCCCACCTTTTGGCACACAAACCTGAGAACTTGTTTGTTCTGCCTCCTGAAAACTAGTATATAAATGAAATTAATTGATTCACAATGATTTTCAGTCAAATTGAAAAAAAAAAAATAACCCTGTATCAATGCACCTTACTTAGGGTTTTCACAGAGAAACAAAGGCTGAAAATGGGAACAAATCCCCTGTAATTTTACAGAGAAAAATCAGCAGGGAAGAGTGGTGCCCTGAAGACTAAAGCTGTACAAAGGTAAGTCTGGATATCCACTGAGTAAACACAGAGTAAAGATGGAGGCAATAAAAATTCACACACAGCAGGGGTAATTCCAGCTAAGAGCCATGAAAATCTCAGCATGGAGTGAAGTTCTCTCTTTGCAAGATCCAAGAAAAAATACATGCCTTTATCTGCCAAGTCAATTCAACCTCGATGCCTCTTTTCCAAACATTAGCTCAACATCCTCATAGTAACATGATCTCTAAGGGATACTAGATAATTTGGTCTCAGCTTACCCTGAAATTTTCCTAAAGGAAGGTCCTAACCTGGTTCACACATTACAGTAGAAGGGACTTGTATAGTGGAAGACACTAAGAGACACATAAAAGCGATGTTCCAGTGGAGCTACTGGCTCCTAAACTAGGCAAAAAGGTCCACAAGAAGGGGAGCACAATACTCAACAGGTGACTAATTATTTTCTAGAAGCATCTTTAAAGTACTTACATTCTCAGATCATTGATCCTTAAGCATTCAACTGCTTAAAAGGTTACAGCAGCAGGTAGCTTGTCCACAAAAGAAAAGTACAGTTACTTATACTTCTGTGACTTAAACTTCCTCTGTAGCTGCAAGGACAATGTATCTAAGAGCCACAGTTACTACAGTGGAGTAAGTGTTCTTACTTCCAAGTGACAAACCTAATCTGTAAGCAAACATTCATTCTGGTGCCACAAGGCAGGTGAGTAAAAAGTGACTATAAAAATAATCAGAAGTTCTGTTCAGCACAGTTTACATCTGACCTGCATGATGCAAAAGTAAAAGAATATGTGGACTGAACTCCATGTTGTTCTATGCACTTTTATACAGGAATACTGCCAGAGAGATCATAAAGGCAAAACTGGAATAACCAGTTGGAGAAACCTATCCAGATGGAGCCTGCTGTTATGGTAGAAGTCTTTGCAAAATCCCACAACAAAGCTTATCAGCTTCAGAAGAAATAACTCAGTATTTTCAGCAAATTCTACATCTCAGTGAAAAGCTTAATGATTTATTTAATACAAACAAAAACACAGCAGCACTCTCTGTAAGGCAATATCCAAAGTCTCTTCAAATAAGTAAGTAGCATGATTTGGGGATGAGGAGACAGACTCACATCTGACAGAATTCAGAGACAACTTTAAGGAGCTATTTAGGCAGCTCCAAGCTGGCTTTGAGGAAGACTGTTTATAGTAGAGTATCTTATAGTAAGATCAAAGACCTTCTCAGGCCATCTGATCCAACACTCTAGTCAGAACAAACATAACTTGGTGATCAGATTGCTGAGTGCCACATCTAGTCATGTTCTTCAAGGAGGCACTCCACAGTCTCTCTGTGCAAACTGTTACTCTGTTTCACAACCTGCATCTGAAAAAAGGTTTCCTTGCACATAATTGAAGTTTTCCTTGTTGCTACTTGGAGCAATCTGTGCTGCAAAATGATGCAGTAATTCCTGTTTATTCTAGTCATCCAGTCAACAATGAAGTTATTAGGGACACTTAGAATCATACTTAATTCCTTATTACTGCATAGATTTATCTCTGTATTAACAAGTAGTGCAATTTTGATATGACTAGAGTTCTACTTCACTGTGGCCATGACAGAAACCCACATAATTAGATCACCTTAACAATACTGTATCATTAAGCCATCTTTTTTATATTTAAAGTAGGCTGATACATTAAAATTTCATCTGAAATGACATTTTCATGGCAACTATATTAGCTTTGCTAAGAAAGCTGTATTAAGTACAGTGTAAGAAACACTGTACTAAGTCTACAGAAAGATTGAAAAGGGAGTGTTGCTTTCTAAAAATGTAAACAATCTAGAGCAAGAGCTGAAACGGCGTCTTTCAGAAAGTGATAAACCTTATTACAGTATCAGTAAAGTTACAAAACTTATATGAATTCAGGGGATTCATAAACAAGAAGTTTAATTTTAAAAGTTTAATCTATATAGAAATTGCCAATTACTTTAAAAAGCAATGTTAATTTGGAAAAAAGTGGGCCAAACATGACAGATACTGATTTAACATCTATATTGACGCCTAAACAGTTTTTATAGAACATACAAAACGTATATATAGAACATCTCTAACAGGATATTTTAGATTCTAAAAACTCCAGGAGATTTTTTGCACAACAGAAGTTCTAATACTAAAAAAACACCAACAAATCTTTTCCAAAAAGCAAAAGAATATGCATTACATCCCTCCCTCCAAAACAAAACAGAGGTGAAAGGAACTATTTTTAAGTTAATAAAAGTTAGATGTCTAGCCAAATGCTGTTTAAACATTAAGTGCACTATTTGACTATCACCTCAACTGGAAATATTTCATTCATTCAGTACTTTAAAAATATATCACCTTCTTAAATTCTTCACAAGTATGTACTCAATATTTGAGTTTTTCCAACCACCTCAAGCAGGTCTTCAGGTTAAACTTAATACAAATCCTAGGTAGTTTAAGTGCTTTCTATTACTTAATGTTCTACCCAAGTTTTGGCTTTATGTAAGAAGCCACTTGACACAAACCACTATCTTCCTAGTTTTCTTCATTGCTAATAAAATTTAAAATTTCTTGTACAAGATTAAAAAAATATTAGTTTTGTTTCTCTTTATTGCATAACATGAAGGCTTTTTCCTATCTTAGGAATAACAGCAATTGGCAAAATGTTTTTTTTACTGTATTGATGATTATCTGAGAAGTCTCAGGATCATTTACACAGAGCTCTAGTACTGCAGCTGAACACAGATGTGAATTTTCTGTTTGCATTTGTAGACATGCACATACATGCTACAGCTCTGCATTCTCATATCCACACCACAGCCACACAGACAGCGTGAGGCTAGGCTCCCAGTTAGGTGATAGAGAATGCCTACACCATTGCATACACACTCCCCCCTGGTTACAGCATCCACTCATTGCTGAAAGTCTGAGGATATTGAACATTTAACACAGGCTTCCTTTATCCAGAAGTTAGTCCCCAAAGTTAAACAGGTGTTAATATAAACAAACCAACCCCAAAGAGTTTAAAAAGTATTCAGACTAAAAATTCTTTCCCCTTCTCAAATCTGCAACTGACACTCTCCTGGCTCCAGTTACACAGTGTTTTCAGAGCTCTAGTCACTATAGCCGGTGACGATCTGACAGAGCTTGAAATTCTAATGTGAAAACACAAAAAAATGGGTCAAGTGGCCTGAACATCCAATTGCTGTAGCACAGTACAGCCCAGCTAACATCACAGAGATAGACTCCATGCCCTGAAAGTTACAATCTGTCTTTTTGAGTCTACAACCATACTAAATATGCTCATATATACTGAAGTAGTTCATTACCATTTAACTGTTCTACAGTAAAGTTTAAATACCTCAACTTTGGCTTGCTAGGGAACCAAATACAAATGGCGTGAAGACTGGCAACCAACTCAAGCAATATGATGTCAGAGAATCAACACAAACTTTTAATACCATCACTGATAATGAATTTCACTGTGAAAACCTAACAAAAGCAAATAACCAAATTGATAAAGATGGGGCAGAAAGAGGGGGTTTGTACAACTGCATTAACGTCAAAACACCCAAAGCACGTACCTCAGACCAAACAATACTCATAAGGACTGGGGAAGAAACAGGATTCTAGAACTTCTGTATATGCCTCTCCTTTGCTCAAATCCAGGCACCTACATATACTTTTGGTTAAAAATGTACAACACAGCTTTCATATTTACCCTATCACTAATACAGGGTATCCACATTTAGGACAAGAGACAGGCATCTATATACTCTTTTAAATGGAATATTAAAAAACCCAACAAATAACATTTCTTCTGCCC